ACCTCCTCACAGCCCCCGAGGCAAGACCATATCGTAGATCACGGGGTTATTCTTTCCATGAAATAACCTCGATAATTCTGCTTTATTTTTATTTAGGACGCTCTTCGATGGTGAAGGATGATGTAATGTCGTTTTGTAATTTTTTTGTGTGTATTCCTGCAGTCGAGGCAAGTTGCCATGAGTCTCATTTTGCTTCGTCGTCTCTGTTTCTGATTGGCTGCGAAGGACACACCGTCACGGCTGGACTGGAATGAGTCATGTGTAATAAGAGGAAGAATTCACGAAATAAGCAATGCAATGTGTTTACAAGAAAATAAAAAAAAATGAAAAACTGCAACCACATAGCACGTAAGATCTTTCTGTAAAAAACAACAACTTTGTTCTGTATCTTTTTTGCGCAATAAAGTGGTATACAGCGAGGACCGACTTTCATCACTTCTGATTTTTTTTTAAACAGACAGTGATAGGCTGAAAATAAGGAGAAAAATCGATGGAATGAGGGAGAGAGAGTAGACCGGCATCCAGACAACATGACGGGTTTGGTTAATGCATATGCGTGTGTTTATGTGTCTATATATATATTCATCCATATATATACATACATATACACGGGCACACCCACGTATACACACACCCACATGCATATATTTAAATGTGTATTTACATATATATATATATATATATATATATATACACATAATATATACATATATATATACACATATAATATATACACAATATATACATACATACACAAACACATGTGTATATATATATATATATATATATATATATATATATATATATGTATATATGTGTGTGTGGTGTGTGTGTGTGTGTGTGTGTGTGTGTGTGTGTGTGTGTGTGTGTGTGTGTGTGTGTGCGTGTGTGGTCATCAGGATATCAGTGTACCCATAACACTCTGAATGCTGTCCACTGTGTTTTAAACGTCATATATATGTGCCTATGTTTACTAGATTTTAACTGATATTCTTGGTTTAATATGGCTGTGTCTGGGGATTATGGCGATGTTTTATTGGCTGCCTATAACACATTAGGTACAATGGTTGTCGAATTTCTCTTTGCTTCTGTAACAATCTGCTGAGTATTGTTTACCGACTTTTTCATCTGAGAGTCGTCGGCCTATTAAACAAGAAGACAATTGCTTGTCATAGCTGTTCGATTGTTAATGAATAGAGCAAACGAGAACGGTCTTTGCATAAAGCTTTGTGGAATACCGAGAGAAAAATAGACAAGTTTCTATAATAATAGTTCCACGAAATTTAACTGCTTGCGTTCTTGGGAATAAGTAGCTCCTGAATCAGCAGTTAACAGTTATTTTATTTTTATTTCTAGTAATTATGATTTTATAGTTGATACTGGCAAAAACTTTAGATAACCAAAGTGAGTAGATTTATTTTTGGTCTGTTATTAAATTCTTTTGAGTTTTTTTACAGTACTGTTTTAGTGGATAGCTTAGCTTAAAAACCATTCTACATCTTAGACTTATAGGGCGTCTTCTGTAGCGTCCTTAACTCTTAATACCGTATTTAGTTTAATCCTAATCCACCGTGTCCGTACCGAAGACGACAATCTCCGCTGCCAGACGGCGCGACAATAATGTTCAGTAAAAACTGTCGTACTCATTATTCTATCACCACCGTTATCATATAAACATGTCAGAGAGAAGAGAAATGTCGCGCCTGAAATACGCTCTTTTGGGAGTTTTTTTTTTTTTTCTTCTTCTTCTTTCTTTCTTTTTGTAACGGCATGTTTTTGGTATTGTAGACATCCCTTAGCTTTCAAAATATCTATTATCTTTAATGTGTATTTCGCGAAACTGAGACTCTTACTAATGTTTTCATAATGCTAATTATCTTCTGCCATTTTTTCTTCTTTCTTTATCTCTGCACTGCTTTGCCACCTAATCGTTTAAAGTATTCTGTAAATAATAATATAAACTTCTCAGATGCTTCTGAAGACCACCTTTTCTTTCCCTTCATCCCAGACGTACCTACATGATTGAAGACAAGGCATTAAAAACTTATTCATACCATTAATCATTTCTTTATGCATCCTAATGTTCTCAAAATTGAAAACTAAGACTAGCATCAAGATTATATGTTACAAATATGATTTGTTCTGAATCTTATGTTAATGGACTGTCTCTTTAAATTTCTATCAATTCTTGTGATGTTCCTAGTCTGTGATGTAGTGATGGTGCCTTGCTGCTGATGCGAAGGTCCTGCTGGTCACGTATTTCTGGCCATATGGGAATAGGGTTTACAAATCTAAAGGGTGGGAGCTGAGGTATGTTGTCTTTTTATTGTCGAAAAATCTGTGGTATTTTGAAACATTTCTGTGCAGTGTTGCTCTTCACACAACTGTAATTGCATGTTGTGTAGGGTAGCGTTTGGAGCAAGCCATGCACTCATGCCTGTAAATAAGCAACAAAATCATCCAAAAGATATCTATTCAACATTCACTCTTCATGTCCCTACGCATATGATATAGAAGACAGTATTAAAGATATTACCTAAAGATTTGCAGTCCGTATAAAATTTACTTGGATAAATGAACCTTGCAATTTGCATTCAGACACTGCATTGTTAAAAGATTTTTCTGACTGATATTCATTTTTCATAGATTGGAGAAAAGGTGATTGTTATAGAGAGTTGTAGTCAGCCACTCAAGATGCAGTTTGATTTTCATATGATAATTATGAGGCACCCTCCTACGTATGAGGGAAACATGATTATTTATGAAATATTCTATTTTTTTCATGATGAGAATCTTATATTTGTAGTAATAAAATGGGTACCGAAACGTCTCTAACAACTATAATTTTTTTTTTAATGACACTCAAGTACAAAAATTACGTTAACCAATCACGCTGTTTCCTTGGACGGCTCTTTGCTGCGTTGAATCGTGTTGGACGAGGGAAACATGTTTTGTTCAGGATGCTGTTCAGGAGGTCCATAGGAAAGTATACTTGCTAATTTTGTAGTAAAGTAGTTGAGAAAAACTCAGCACATGATTTTTCTTTAAAACGCTGGTTCATATATGATTTAAAACGTCAACTTGTGTGACCTTGACCATATAATTTTTTGTTTCACTAACCTGGAAATACGAGTTCCATGACTGCAGCCTCTGAACTTCAAAGATTCCTCATGGGATTATATTGTTTTTTTTATATTCATTACCATAAGTTATTCCCTTTATCAGAATATTTGATCATTTGTGTAAATATATACAATTTCATTTTCATAATAAATACTAAGTATGAAAATTCTAAGACGATCGATGTTATTGTCGAAAATAACTCGATGACACCGTGACGTAACAGTACACGATTGGTGGGGTTAACTTGTCTCTTCTGCGCATGTGCAGGATTTTTTAAAATGAGCTTAATAATAAAGCCTGGTCTAGAGGTGCATTAAAAGTTGATCCTGGACGCTGCCAACACGCATGCGCACTAGAGATCTGGACTAAATTTTAATACTGGATTAACTATTATGGCACGTCCAGATGCCCTTGCCCGTATTTTAAAACCTTTCCCCAGGGCTGGCATTCGATTTCGCCGGGCGATCGGGAATTTCGTACTGTTAAAAGCATGGCAAGTGTTCGCCAGATGATTGTATTGGAACAGCCTGGCGAAGCAAAGTCGCCAGAGCTCTCCCTTTCCCATGATTGAGTACAATTTTCTTGTTTTCAAATTACAAATTAGTAATATATTTGTGTAACATATATAGGAACCACATTGTAATTTTAGAATATCTGAAACAATGTATTAAATAACGTATATACGTAGTTTTTTTTCAAGACCATCAATGTTCCAATCGAGAGCGCAAGACATCAGCTGTATTCCTGCCCCCCCCCCAGATGAGGTATTTTGATTTGAGTTGTTATTTTGGTTGTAGGGATTATTTTCTTTCCTCAAATGTTACCATAAGTGTTTTGATGATGGCATGTTTACTACGGGCTATAGAAACATAGCTGTCATGCTCCACCGCTCTGCAATGAGGCGTGTCTAACCTAACCTAACCCTTGTAGCCCTACAGTTCACTATTTTATATCGGTTAGGCAGAGTAAAATGATGAATTTTTAACTCCTTTGTATAAAGTGAGGCTATTACGAAGATAACATCATCGTCTTCTCCCGAGGTTAATAATTAAGCTTAAGGTAAGTTAGGTAAAGTAAGGTAAGGTAATATAATATAAGGTAATATGATGTAGGTAAGGAATTAATTTGGAAAAAGACGTCACCAACGCTTTCCGGACGAAACTAAATTCTTCGATTTCTATTGTTTTGGTTCGGTTGATCTGTGGTGCGTTTCGATCGATATGGCTAGATTTGTTCCATACAGGGCTGCCGCCATCTTGATAATGCATGTGCACTATGGAATTCTCGTTCTCTGCTGTAATCACGGTACCGATTTAGTCACAATATTGTTTAAGCAGGGGCTGTGCCCCACCCCCGCCCAGGAAAACAAAGAATCCTTCACGTATTTACGGCAGGAGAGAGCGTTCGACAGACTCGGCATCGGGCGGTCCCTTTGTGTCGAATTAGGCCCCCCTGCCAGGAACAAACCCACGTATTCACGGCAGGAGAGAGCGTCGGACAAAGTCGGCATCAGCGCTTCCACATGCGTTTGGACGCACGTGAAGCATCGTACATTTTCACTTCAGTGAAAATAAACCTAAATATACCTATGCAGAGGAGGGCCGGAGTGAGGGTCGCCATATCAGTGGAGCGGCTTGTGGAGCGGAAGCCCTGGAGAGGTCTGCGTGAGCATGAGCGACGCGACGGCCGATCGCAGGGCATTTCAGAGGGTAGAACTCTGTGTTCACGTAATAGTTTCAAGCTAGTCTCATCGTCTTCAATATATATATATATATATATATATATATATATAGATATATATATATATATAATATTATATATATTGGAATGGTTTGATACCTCTATCACACACGGACTAATTTGAAAATTTGAAAATT